GAAAAAAACCTAATAATAATGCACTAGAGGCTAACGGTGCCATTAGTCCTAACAATATTTTTTAATTTTTTCGGAAGTTGTATATCTATACACAAACTTATGTACTACATGTATTATATTTTTGAAAACCACCTAGTGTTATCATCAATGAAGTTTGGTACGCTTCATCAAGAGTCCTAAAAATAAACCTCTCCAGATGTGAAAGGTCTACATCGAGTTTAAAATGTTAAACACCAAACGTCCTACTTTATTTGGTTGTTATATAAGAAGATACAGATTTAGAATTGTCTGAACAATGAAAGCTTGTAAAACAAATTGTAAACACGCAAATAATCCACAACTGTTTCCTCCTTCTTCATCAATGATCGTTTTGGATTATTGAAGGATGCCGCTATCGCTTGTTTTCTCGTTTAATTGGGTCTACTGCATGAAAATTTGCTTGTTTGTCACTGATGGACAGATCGCTCCTCTTTTATTCTATGCCGCAACACAACTGTTACACTGTTACAATAAATAAACAATACGATAATGACCACTGCAGCCAGATTGGCAAATTAAAAATACAACAAATTAAGATTAAATTAATTAGAGAGACAATTTACGTAACATTTTTTTTATCAAATTAATAATGTATAATTTTATCTGACTAATTATTTTAAAATTAAATGTTTCTACTCGTTGGTGCCGATGGCTTTGTCTGGAAAACGGTCAGTATTTAAAACATAATCATAACACAAAAACCTTTTCAGCCTGGGGTCTTACTATGTACCTGTAGTGTATGTTTTAGAGGTCGCCGAAAATCCAAACCTCAAGAAACACTCCAAAATCCACTAAAACTGTCATGATAATCCCGAACGATTTTAAACCTAAAACCCATAATCGATCGACTCTTCTACTAAATGTATAACGTCATAATCCATAAACCCTTAATGCTTATAACCGTATGCCCTATATGCCCGTAATTAAAATACTGAAATAATTTACGTCACAAATAGTTTCATGGTGAATTATTAAGCAATACTGTTTCAATATCTTGATTAATATAAGTTTTTACGGTTACAGGTTTAAAGACTAATGATGTTTTACATTTAGTAAAGAGGTTACCGGTTTTAAAACCATTTGGGATTATCATGATTAACGGTTTTAGCGGATTTTAGAGTGTTTTTCGAGGTTATGTCCAACCCCTGACGTACTGAAATTAAACTGACATTGAATTTGGATTCAACGACCTCAGGTCGAATTTTTTTTTGTGTGGCTATAGCGAAAGATTTCTTAATAGAACCACCTACAAAGTTTTTTCATCTCGTATTATTTGAACACATATTATACAATTTTGTTGAATTTGCTTCAAATTGGTTACACTACATTGAAAGGAGAAGATTCTATAAATGTTTGTCTTCTAATCGCACTAAAGTATTTCAATTGCTAAAGCTTCCTTAGTACCTATTCACTTTTATCATTCCAAACAAAGAGACAGGCAGGGTCAACTTTTACCATTGATGCTAAAGTGTTATATTTAACGTATGTTTCTTCGTTTTTGTGAGCAGACCTTGTAGAAAGGATCTAAAGTGCTATAATAACAAAATGACACTTCAGTGGCTTGTCTCTAAAGTAAATTAAGGTGTGAGACCATTAAATAAAGCAAAAGGGGAAACACATTTGAAGATCTATTACGTCCGAATGAATTGCTGGTTTTATATACTTACCGTTAGAAGTGTCACATGATTGGGAACCTATCTATCAATGTAGGTGCCTATTTCTAAACCGAATGTTTTGATTTATCATTCGATTGACAATCCTGGCCATTTCGATCGTTAGCAGGAAATTCTGCTATCAACAAAATTAATGATATACGTCCGATTTACTGTCGTCAGGCAGTTAAAGAAGGTATCAGATTGTAAGAAGGTTTTAGCAAATCATTAGACGATTCAAGTATGCTATTTTTGTTATTTAGGAAAACTGATGCATTTTGGTAACTGGCTATTTTATTTACGCAGATTTTATTGCGTCGAATTCGATTTATATTAATTAATATTAACAGCGTGAATATAAACAAAGATAGTTTATTTCACAAATAAAGGCTGAACTGCAAATATTATCTACACTGCAGGCTGCCCATTGGTCGCAGATATAAAAGTTTTATTGACAGTAAATGACAAGACAAGAGCCGTTTCTGGATATCGCAGCCGCCTTTCATATTAGTATCTAATAATATATTTATATAAACAATGTCAACAAAATACACGGTCTAAGGAATTGAATAATAACTGGTTATTAATAAGAAAAGAAAAGTACCTATTGCAAAACTTTCTTGTTATTGTTTTCTTTTATCCTGCATGTTATCTTTTCTTCAAATAATCTTTACTGAAAGTAATCACTTCAACGAAATGGTTTTGTGTTAAAGAATTAAGAAAATATACAATTCTGGGCTGAAGGTTCTACTACTACCTTTATCCCAGAATTGCTTGTTTTTTTCTTTAAATTCAATAGTTTTACTCTTCGTAGATTTATAGAAAGCGTTCAATAATGTTGAATGGGACATGACGTTTAATATGCTTAAAAATGTAGGGATGAGACCCAGAGATATAAGAGTGTACCTATGGTCTGTATGAAGAGCAATAGGCAGTTATAGAGCTTGAGCAGTAACGTAGAGAAGTAAATGTTAGGAAGGGAGTCAGACAGGGATGCACGCTGTCACCGGTACTTTTTAATCTATACGTCGAAGAAGCTATCAACATCATTAAAGACAGTACAACTGTAGGGATAGATATACAGGGGCGAAAGATTAGTATGCTTAGATTTGCAGATGATATGGCAGTATTAGCATCCATCAAGGAGGAGTTAGTCCTAAATAGAATGGAAACGGTAAACAAAAAAAGTATCGTGTGAAATAATGGAAAGAAAAAGTAGGGAAACAGCGGATATAAAGGTAGAAGACGGACAATTAGAAGATGTTTCTAATTTTCGGTATCCAGGAAGTCAGATAATTCAGGATGGATGGAGCAGTGTCTCCAAAAGAGGAGGCACTTCTGTGCTCGCCAAGGGTTAATTAAGAAATTCGAAAATGATTGTTAAAGGTGTACTGTATATTTGGAGCGCGGCGATGTGCGGGTGCGAAAGGTTAGAAGCCTTCGAAATGTGGTATCACAGGCGAATGATGAGGGCACCATGGATAGAGAAGGTTAGAAATGAAGTCAATAAGAAATAGGCAAAATAGGTTGGTAAGACACCTTGTGAGGAGAAGAGGTAGACCTGGATTAGATAACTGTCCACAAATAGTTAAGAATGTGAGATGTTCTAGTTTTATCGAAATGCGAAGATTAGCTCACGATAGGAAAATGTGGAGGTGCGTGTCAAACTAGTCTTAGGACTGACGACCTTATCCTCATCTTCCATTGTGTTTATTATTCAAAAACGATTTTACAATGACAATTCTCTGAAATACCTGCCTGGAATCATCAAAGAATCTTAAAGATTTTCCATTTGAATGTACAGCTTCTTCTTCATCATCAACACCCAAAAATCCAAATTTTTCTGGATGGTTCATATTTACAAAAAGTGCCTCACTATAACATGTATCTGATACGTATAACAATCTTCGATCTCTTTTCTGTTGCCTGCTAATTTTTATAAACGTCTGTCATGTCCTGTCACAATTTTCCTTGGTACTAATAATGATGGAAATTTTAAGACCATGGATCGTTGATATCATGAGAAACATGCATCTAAATAGTTAGTGCTCATGTCTTATCCTCACCTTTAAACTCCTCTGGCCTTAATAATCGATAAGTGGTTTGAGACTGTACTCTTTCAAATATTATTTGTTAAAAGAATTTCCCAAAATGCCTCACAACGCTGTTCAAAAATCTGACATTCATTTAAGCACAACTTCCTGAAGATGCACTTTCACTACACAGACTATAGGACTTATCGTTCTCATTATATCTTTGTATAGTTCCCTTAGAAGTTACTTTTGCTTTCCTGCAGGAGCAAATATTTAAAAATTACTTGTATACCCAAAATTAAAGCTGCACGTCTTTAATGCCTCCAATGAAGTTTCTTTTTAAATCACAGAGGTTTGTTAAACATGATCTGTAGGTATCATGTTTTCAGAAGCGTGATGTTTACATCTTTTGATACTCAAGTCCACCAGGTTTACAAGCTAGTTTGGCATTTATTTAGACAATAAATCAGTACAACAGGTTTCAATACAACGGCATCTAATTGACTAGCAGGGAAAACTTAATTAAAAGCTCGAGCACATAAATTTAATTACTTCAGCTTTTACGTTTAATTCTTTACACTTACAACTTACAAAGGTGTTTTGGTTTTTAATGGCCCATTTTATGGATTGTCTAAAACGACTGCAGTATCTTTATGTATCTTCTTAAAATTGCTGCTAATATCTTTTGAATTACACAATCTTCTTTGGAAGAAGGTTAACTTTTAGGGATTTTCGAACCATAGGGAAGTACAAAAATTTTCAAAATTTTATATAATAAGAGGGTACTTAATGGATATCCATCATCAGTACTGCATCTCCTGTGTTAACTTTGTTTGTGGCTAACAAGAATGCCACCACGATCTCATGACAATGAATCTTCAATTTTCCGGTTTTATCGTGATTCGATTTTTTTCTGTTTTCATAAAAGGATTTTAATTCTGTGACGGCTCCCGGCATCCGTCAAACACACCCACATAAATCCGCATTATCGTCAAAAATCCCAAACTAATTAACAGCAGCGCAAAACACGCCAAACGTATCCATCACAAAATAATTAAAAGGAAAGAGCAACCAAAGCAAAAAAACGAGCATCAAGCCAGAAATAATAAATAACAAAACATATTGGCATCACACTAAAGCTCTCTAATGAGATTCAGTGGCGTAGGCAGGACCAACTCGTAAGGCGGGACCGAAATCAACCAATCGGATTCTCTGGAAACAGACAGCTTTCAGTGCAACGCCCTCTATCCATCTATTCGCGCCTGCATGCTTAGTGAACCTCTAGACCTATGCTGGATAACATTTGAGTGAGAGAATAGTGATTCTGTGCTACAAGTTGATGTGCGTAGGTCCAGTACAAAACTGTTTCAATAAAGCATCCTAACACTTGACAACCGATCAAGAGCTTTTCCCCCGATTATGTGCTTGCGGATGTGCGACTGACATCGAAAAGTAAAGTTCCTTGGTAGCAACCAAGTCATAGAAATCTCAAAACTATTTATTTCACAATTTGAGATAATCGCAATGAGTCGAATAGTGCTTCACATCCTGAGAATCCATCGAATTCCGTATGCTTCCTTACATGATTTTGTGGAACTCCTCCATCTATTCAACGGAAGAGTGACCTCCGTCGGATTTTGAACACTGAAGAGTTTGTCGAACCAAAGCTTCTCAAAATATAATTCATTTTCCGTAACCCATCAATGAATATTTATTAACTTGAGCGTCAAATTGATTTATTGGAAATTAGTTTTCTGTAGACTCTTCAAAACGTTAATGCTGATAAAATTATGTAACATTGGTCTGATGAATGGAAGAAGCTAAGGAACATTACTTTCTCACGTGGAACATCAGTGCAACAACCATCATGGACCACTGACAATCATTTTTGTACCAACCGAAATGACAATGTGGACATTATAGTGAATGTGACAAGTTAAATTTAATCATATCGTTCAATTCAGTAACCAAAGTGATTCGAACAACTAATAGAATAATGGTGCTTGAGTCGGGAGTGTTGCCACCCCCATTGCAACTTTATGCGGCGGCAGCCGCTCATCTCACTCCCCGCCCCCCTTGGGCACCATTACTACAATTTCCGGGGGCTGCAGCAAGCCTTTTGAGCATGCATCCGGGCACCTTTGCTCCACTGGGGAGACCACGGTACCCTCATGGATTAGCTGGACAGCTCCGAGCACCTCCAGGACCACCCTCGGAAGATAGCGGGAATGAGTCTCATGCAGGAAAAGGTCAGTACCAAAAAAGGCAATTTTAAATCATTCAACGACATTACAACTCTAATAACTGGAATGAAACTTCAGATCTACAAATCCCCCGGTCTCAAGAAGTGTCGACGCTAGCCAAATACTATTGCAATATTCTTGATCTCCAAGAATAAATGATTGAATCAATGGTATATGTAAAGTCAGTAGACCCTACCGTCACCATTAGGTCTGATTTTGATCATATTTCATTTATACATACTCGTTAATCTTCGTAAATCTTCAGTCAATTTTCTGGAATGGCAACATCATCTCATACTATTGATGTACATATCCCTCTGTTTTCTGTTTATTCTTTGATTTTATCGGCATCAAATATAGTGACCTTGAAATGAAAGGATTGTTGATATCACAAAGGCATCATCTTAAATACACCTTCATCCTTCCTAATTGCCTCATTCTTTTCATGAATCACAAAGCATATCGCCACCGGAAGATAATGATTCTTCTCGTCACACCGTTCATAACGGAAACTGTCGATCTCAAGTTTCGTCACTCAAATACTTCGTCTTATTTCAACTCTCAACTCTTTCCTCTTAATTTTTTGATTAATAGTAGCATAATTACCTACTATAATCGCATACCACACCGATTTTGGTGTAGTTACATACACACGGAATGTACTAAGAATCATAGGTATTCATAAATTAATTTGCAAAATGAAGGAGATCAATAAGAGCCACAATCACTAATTGGCAGTTTCAATTATTGTATCAGCAATCAAATAAGAATAACAAAATTGTTAATAATTCATGTTCTGGTATGCGACCAGACACGGTTGGAAAAGACGTTGCATGAGGATGGTACATGAGCTGAGATTCCCATGAACGTTTATGGACACATGGGAGAGATTCGGGAGGCAATAGGTGAAAAGCAAGAGACGGGAATAGTGTTTTAAATATTATTAACTATAATGCATGTAAAAATGTGTTTTAGTTTATACCACTATCCACGTTAGTTATATTGGATTACGGTCCGAATTGTCTAGTCTCTCATTCATCTTAGAAGCATACTATGCGCTTGCTCCAGGTCATATTCCCATGGCAACTTGAGTGTAAAACTCATCTGGAGTTCATATTGCTCTCTACTTCAGTTGAAGATTTTCCGCTACCTAAATAAGCCATTCAACGAACTATCCAATTACCAAAATGATCTATATCCAGAAGTCCATCTGAATGACAAAAAGTTATTGTCTTGTTAACCAGTACGAGGTCATTCGATTAATGATATGCCTATTCAAGTACCTATGCACCAATGGAAATAGTTTTTATTCTTTGTACCTATAACGCCAAAAAATAAAATAAAATAAAATACATCTTCAAATTAGAAATTCGAAAATGTCATATTACCGGAGAATGATGAAGATACCGTGGATAGAGAAGGTTAGAAATAAAGACATATTAGTAAGAATTCGAGAATACAGTGTGGAACAGTATAGAGGTCTATAAGAAATAGGCGAGATAGGCTGGTAGGACATCTTCTCAGGCATGAAGGTCTAGTCACAGACATATTAGAGGCAGAAACAAGAGTTAGGAGGGATAGAGGTAGACCTAGATTAGATTACTGTTCGCAAATAGTTAAGGATGTGGGTTGTACTTGTTTTGAGGAATAGCGAAGATTAGCTTAGAAAAGGATAGAGTGGAGGTGCGTTTCCAACTAGTCTTGGTACTGACGACTTATAATACCAAATATGTAAACCTACCCAATTTGGGCATTTTTGACACTAATTCAAGTGATATTTAAAATCGATTATAGATAACACAAATGAACACATTTTCAATGATAACGTTGCCGTCTTTATACCTCTTGGTAGTACAAAGGACAGTAATGTCCTATCCAATATATGCTGCAGTCCTGTATTTTCCTTATTTTGTTTCGTCTTCATCATATTTAAAGAATAACGGTATATCTTATTCAAATGTCCAATTAGTTTTATCTAATATTTTCATTGGGTTATTCTACCGTTTTATCTCTTCCGAACATTAGCAGCTTTTCGCTGATAACATCTTCAGTGGTGACCTGATAGTAATCCACTATAGCTTTTATTGACTTATGCGTACATTGGGAATAATTACATCAGGGATAATAGAACATCCTAGATTTGTGAGTACCGAAGACAGAATATCATTACTGCCATAATGGTAACTGATGCTAATAGCTTATACTTACGTAAATAACCGTTTATTATTAATTGCAAGAGTCAACACATTTACGTGGATTAGATAAGACTGAGACATTATTATCCAATATGATTTCGTTACTCGTCCATGCGTCCATATGTAGTATCGGTAAGATCGTCATTGCAATCTTTAATATTCACAATTGTGGATTAACCAGCTATAACTGCAGATGTTCAATTTTACATTGCATGGTTTAATTAAAGGACACCGAAGCACCTCCAGTCTGCGCTTAAAAATTCGTTCCGAATGTTGTCATAAAGAAGGATTAGTGTGGAGTGGAATTTGATAAAAATCCGCGTTTCTCCAGCAACCTCCATGCCACTTATTGTAAATGACTAATATAAATGCGTGAATATAAACCCTTTTGCAAGCGGAAACGTTAATGTCAGCAATCCACTTTAACATCAGAAAGTCCATTATTGCTATGGATAGTTTATATAATACTAACAGGTAATACAGATAATGCAATAATTATGACTAAGAGACGTTAAAATTAGAAAACACTTTTACACACGATACTCAAAATCAAATCAAAGACTCTACTGGAAAGAATCGCATCCACAAAACGAAAATGGATCTTCTTGTGCGGCATGAACTATGATTAAAATATCATCATTCAGATAAGACTTCAATCATTCATTGGTTTAAATTCAGTATCTATTTATTATGAACTTCATCAGTCAATTACCTATACCCAGACCATGCAAGAAAAAATTGTGAAATATGAAAATCAATTCCCAAGGAGACCGGAACGGAACTTTCGAAGTATGGATACTGTGGAGCGCCTACACTATGATGATCAAGGATCCCAACGTTCAAAAAAGAATGTCCAAAATGGATCATAACGTGTAACTTTTCGATGGACTCTATAGAAGTGAATAAGAAGTAGCCGAAATAGGTTGGTAGGACACCTTATCAGGCATATTAAAAACAGAAAAGAGGCTAGGAGAACAAGAGGTAGACCTAGATTAGATTACTGTTCGCAAATAGTTAAGGATGTGAGACAAGATTAGCTCACGGTAGGAAAGAATGGAGGTGCGTGTCCAACTAGTCTTAGGACTGACTCATCATCATCATCATCATAAGGTCATCAGTCCTAAGACTGGTTGGACACGTACCTCCACTCTTTCCTATCCTGAGCTAAACTTCGCATTTCCCTAAAACTAGAGCAACCCACATCCTTAACTATTTGCGAAGAGTAATCTAATCTAGGTCTACCTCTACCCCTCCTTACTGCTGTTTCTGCCTCTAATATGTCTCTGACTAGACCTTCATGCCTAAGAAGGTGTCCTACCAACCTATCTCGCCTATTTTTTATTGACTTCCACAGAGTCCTCTGTTCTCCTATTCTTTCGAATACCTCTTCATTTCAAACCTTTTCTACCACTGACTAATACCTTATGATTTTGATTGATACTCTTAAGGAAGAATTAGTAACTGAAATGACTTCCCTTCGATCCCTTTTCAGTTACCTGCTAATCTTTATCAACATCGGTCATACCCTGACACAATTATCTTGGTACTAATAAAGATGAAAAGTTTAAGAATATGAATCGTTGATACCATGAGAAACATGCATCAAGTTAGTGCTCAAGTCTTATCCTCAGCTCTAAACTCTTCTGATCTCAATAATCGATAAGTTGTTTGAAGCTGTACTCTTTTAAATATTATTTGTTGAAGGAATTTTGGGGAGCGCCTACACTGTGATCCCAGTGTTCAAAATTTTTAACACTACTTCAATATTTACTTATTGTTATTAAGTGAGTTTTCAATAGAAGCCGGAAACTACATTCAAATGACTGATGGAGTGTAAAATAAACTGTAACTTCATACTTCATACACAACAGACCATTAGATACTAACAAAAAGGATTTTTGGCTCATCACACATTCCTATTAATTTTGTTAGACTCATTCAAGATTAGTTTTGTTACTTTTGGCCAAAAACTTTGTCAATGATTACTGGGAATCCTTCTTGACTTCTATTGTGGCTGCAAAAAGTATTATTCCTTTAATATATTCCTAGACTAAAAACAATGGAATGCTATTCCTTCCTGCTATACATATTTCTTTCCATCTCATCAGTCTGTACTGTTACAAATGTTACCAATTTATATATTTATGATCTATAATCATTGAAAACTTCTCTTCAACAGCCATTAACCACAATACCTTCTTATTCTTCATGCTTCATAGACAATTGTTTCAGTTTCCTGTTATAGCAGCATCCTTTGTACAGGTACCAATCAGATCGCTATCCACCTTTAGATGCAGGATACATCTAATTTCCTCTTTCCATTGAAAATAGGCAATAATAATTAACCGTATAAGAGTTAAAATTTTTGTGATGTATCGCAATCGACCCGTTGAAAGGTCAGGTTCATCACGGGGCGCCATCATCGCTTATCGCAACTGATAATATTCGTTTTATAGAGTTTTAATATTTTATTAATACCAAACAACATACTGAACATAGAATATTGATAAAACTACATTAGCGATGGAAAAAGGAGGAGTGAAGGACCTTAGCGTAGAACTCCACAATTTAGCGCTCATCAATGAGCGACAACAAATGAAAATTCTTCCACTGTACCATTAAAAACAAGTAAAGAGTTGCAAAAAAAACTGGAACAACTAATCTCAGACTTAGGTACAGTATGCCCCCGAATATCCTTAAAAATATTTGCCTGAGAATGTGACCAACAATATGAACATTTAAGTACTTGTGCGTATGTATAATAAAAAACATCCCCCAGACTTGCGAAGAAGCACCAACACGACACCACAA